AGAGAGAGAGAGAGAGAGTGAGTGAGTGAGTGAGAGAGTGAAAGAGTGAGAGTGAGTAAGAGAGAGAGAGAGAGAGGTGAGTGAGAGAGAGAGAGAGAGAGAGAGAGAGAGAGAGGTGTGAGTGAGAGTGAGTGAGTCAGGTCAGAATGAGTGAGAGAGAGAGATGAGTGAGGGAGAGGGAGAGAGGGTGAGAGTGAGTGAGTGAGTGAGTCAGAGAGAGAGAGAGGCATGAGTGAGGGAGAGTGAGTGAATGAGAGTGAGTGAGTGAAAGAGTGAGAGTGAGTGAGTCAGAGAGAGAGAGATAGGCATGAATGAGGGAGAGTGAGTGATTGAGAGAGTGAGTGAGAGAGATTGAGTGAATAAGAGTGAGTGAATGAGAGAGTGAGAGAGTGAGTGAGTGAGTGAGTGAGTGAGTGAGTGAGTGAGAGAGCAAGAGAGGCGTGAGTGAGAGAGTGAGTGCGAGAGTGAGTGAGTCTGAGTGAGCGAGAGAGCAAGATTGAGTGAGAGTGAGTGAGTCACTGATTGAGAAAGGTATGAGTGATTGAGAGATTCAGTGAGTGAGCGAGAGAGCGAGAGAGAGAGCGAGAGAGAGAGAGAGCGAGAGAGAGAGAGGTAGACATCGTGGATTTTGACGTAGCAAACCAATTTTTGAAAGGAACCTTCCTAATGCCTAGATGTAGCCATGTGACACAACCAAAGGAAAGTTGATCCATTTCTTTTTCCAATTTATCCAGCTCTCAAAGTTTACATATATTTATGGTGGCAGCCATATTGGATTTTGACCTGGCAACCCAGTTTTCAAAAGGGACCTTTCTCACCATGCAGCCTCACACTATAATGAACGTGAATAACTCGCTTATTTTTTCAAGTTATCCAATTCCCCTGTTTCCTCTGCGATGGAGGAAGGTTAGAATAATGTGGGCATGTTGCCGATATAAAGTTGAAACAGTAGCATTTACAGGAAAACTCATGTAATTCTGCAAATTTATGTTCATTTTGTCAAACTGCTCTGGTGGCTTTGCATCTATGTCACACACAAAAAAATCTATGTAAGAAAATACTTTCTTTTTATTACATTTAAATAATAAAAGTTATGGTTTATGGTATCCAGATGTGATGAGAAAGTCTGTCCAATATTTAATCAGATTTGAAATGTGAGCGCTGTGGAATGCTGATTGTTTTGGCAGATTTAGTTGTGCCAAATTTCCAACACTTAAATGTCAAGGCCAAAAGAGAGGAAGAACATGTATCATCAGCTGTTTATCACGACAAGCTCTAATTCCACCTGAAGTACATGTTTCTCATAAACCGCAGCTCCAGCTGAGTTAGTTTATTTAAAACAAGTTGGATTTCAGTAATTAATTTCTCAAGATCGGAACTAATCTAAAATCCTGTGATTTGCTCATTTTAAATATATTTATTTCTTACACCATTTACTCTGAGTGGAGTCTCCTTCAGTCTGTGCAAGTTTTCCCACGCTGTGCCTGATCTAAACCAAATACAACTGAAGTGAAAAGGAACGTAAAACAAATAGATCTGCCCCGGGGCAGGAAGGTTGCTTCAGGGATAAAATGAAAGTAAAGAGTTGTGGATGAGAACTCAGGCTCTGATGGCGGGTCCCCGAGTGCTTGAGGAGGTGCTTAAAAAGCGCTCAATCAGGACTTTTTCATTAAAAGACGGGATGACGGGGTCATGCTGACATTTGCACTGAAGCTGCAGGAACTGAGGGCCGACATGAGATCCACTCTGCACCCCTGCATGAATGCTGCGCGTGTTGACTGATTACCTTATTAAACTGAGATTGGTGGGAGAATACTCTGATCGTTTAGGTGGTTTTTCAGTTTTTGCAAAGAACGGTGCGAAAGCAATGCAGTCAGCATCTCACTCTCAGCACCTCTGCATCTTGTTTTTTTTGTTTTGTTTTTACAAATGATGGAAACATTGAATTAAATATTAAAAAAATAGTTTTACCAACAGTTCGGTATCTTACAGATACATGCTCTCATTCAAACCCGTAACATTTCCTACAGGAATGCATATCGCCCTCCCCCCTTCGTGCCAGAGATAAGATCATCTTATGATGAGAAAAGACAGGGGTGTAGCTGTTATAGTCAATCAATTTTTATGCAATAGGATGAGATATGGCCCACATCAAAACCACCATCAGCATCAACAAGGACCAACACCAGTACGCATACCACAAGAATTGATCAACAGAAGACGCCATCTCCTCTGTGGTCGACACTGCTCTCACTCACCTGGAGCAGAAGGACTCCTGCGTCCATATGCTCTTTGTGGACTTCACCTCTGCCTTCAACACCATGATTCCACAGACCCTGATGGACAAACTACTCACACTAGAACTAAGCCCCTCCCGTTGCCCTTTTCCCAACTGGGTCCTGGATTTCCTAACCAACAGTCTGTGAGGATCCACAACTTCTCCTCCTCCACCATAACCCTCAGCATTGGCTCCCCTCAGGGCTGTGTGTTGAGGCCCCTTCTGTTCACTCTGCTCACGTATGACTGTGCACCTACCCATCCAGGCTGTCATACTGTAAAGTTTGCAGACGATAGATTGGTAGTTGAATGCATCACAAACGACGATGAGTCCAGCTACAGGCAGGAGGTGGAACATCTGGAGAGCTGGTGCAGGAAGAACAACCTCCACATCAATGTGAAGGTGACGAAGACGAAGGAGATGACTGTGGATTTCAGAAGGAACAAACACACCTACACTTCCCAAACATAGCAGGATCTGAGGAGGAATTGGTCTCCAGTTATAAGTACTTGGGCATTACATTACAAATGCTTCTGAGGCCAATGGCCACCGTGTTGTTCAAGCCAAGAGCCATTGCCAACAGGGGGCTAAGCACCCCTAAGGGGCAGATTCTAGAATCGCCCCTGGGTTAAATAGAAGGCAGGTGTCAGGACTCCTGTACTTTTCAGAAACTGGACTTCTTGTACCCCCATGACCCAAAAAGGAAGAAACGGGTAAAGATGATGGATGGATGGACTTCTTGTTCTTGAAGACATTTCACCTTTCATCCAAAAGGCATCTTTAGTCCAGTTGCCTTCGATTGACCCATTTAGGATCGTCACACACAGAAAGACTGAATCTACACCAATCTTTTACTGTGTCCTTATGCTTTTTCTTTTTTACTTTTTTGTCCATAATTCTGCTTCTTGTTTCTTCTTTTTAATGTTTTTAATATTCCAACTAACATTCATTTAACTCTTATTCAACTGCCTTTCACCCTTTTCAGAAAGTCTCAGTTATGTCCTTCAGTCTTAAGCATTCACACTACATTTCATGCATTTCAGCAGGTTTTTTTTTTCTTCTAGTTATTAAAGTGAATTATAGAAGGGAATGACAACAATGTCAACCTTGCGTGTTTGGTACTTACTGGAGCATCTACAGTGTGAGCTGGAAGGAAAGCTGCAAAAAATCTAAATCAAATCTTGCGGCTGGTTTTGATCAAAAATAAAACAAACAGCCACTGATGCTAAAGTCCAAACTGTATCTACGTATATTTAGTTGACCACTCCATTTGCATGCTCTCTTGCTCGATGGTGTTTTTGGCAGATTTGCTCGTAAAACAGAGACAAGTGACGCTGCAGAAAGTTTTGCAGCTGCCCCACTGAACTTTGAGGCTGGTCACAGATCGCCCAAAGCGTGACACTTCAGCGAACTGAAAGAGGAAATTGGAAATTGACTCATACAAGCAGACAGGCCATTCTCTGACCCCTCAACATGGGGTCACATAATTATCTCTTCATTTGTTTCCAACAAAGCATTCGATTGTCTGCCAGGTCTGAATGAAGCGGTGTGTGTGGTCTCTGTTGGAGAAATGAACAAAAATCTCCCTCACATTCATATTTAAAAAGACAACTTTCTAAATTTATATTCAGATCTCAAACTACCCAGTATGTGAATGGTCCCAATGGACATTAATGCAAAACTCCCATGTCATTGCTCAACCATCCATGAGCCACATTAACCCATTTTCCTTCTAATTAAAGAGATCCTTCACCCATGACCGCTGATACACAATGGAACAATTTTCTGCAGATGATCTGCATTAAATGTGAATTTCCTGTCGTTTGTGGCTCCCTCTATTAAAATGTAGTAAATCAGCAGATCAATTAATCCTAATTACAATAAAAAAAATACCAGATGTTGGCCAGTTTGACCCCCATTAAAAGGTCAAAGGTTTATTTTTCATGTGCTGTAAAAATGTCATTAACCTGTTAACAAAAAGAGTGGAACATAAACATGGTTGTTAATGGTTAAAACACTTTAAAATGTGCTTATAAACTCCTGAGAGCTCCTTAATGCTGATGTCATCTCTAACTAGGTGCAAACATCAACATTTCATGCTGCAATTTTAACATTTTCAGTCAAATAAATTTAATCCTGCATAAATATGAGATAAAAAAAAAACGATTCCTCTCACCTTATCGGTTGTCAGCTGGATTAAAATTCACAGCTCTGCGTTCCTCATAATTTCCTTGGGAATAAAGTTTCCTTTACTTCCCTCGTTCAGTCAGAATCTAAAGTGATGTCAAATGGAGCAACGATTAAAACAAAAAAACCTGCAGCATGCACAACTTCTGTTAGTTTGGATGTGAAGAAGAAACTCAGACATATGGAGTAAAAACCCCACAACATGGTCACGTGGTCACCACACACTTCCAGCTGATGGGTGTTTTGCTGCTGGAGCAGAGTCTGAAGTTACCAGAGACTGTGTGTTTGTATTTTTGCGCCCTCTGCTGGACAATAACTCACACGTTTGACAGTTTTTTTTTTAATAAATATATAATTATTGTTATTTAAAAAAGAAAATAACAAAACTAATACAAATTACATCAATTTTGGTGTACAAAAATGTTGCTAACAAAGTGAGAACAACCACTTCCGGTCGCCATCCGTCGCAAACACCTCTTTAAAGACCGTCACTGATGAGTTCAGGTGCCCCTCGTAAAATTGATAATGTTGACAAAAAGTTTAACTGTACGCACGTCGGTGGGTTTCCCCCAACACTCCTAATAAATAGTTTCTAAAAGTCCATGAAGGCATCACAGGGGAGTTGAGAAAACTGGGCGGAGCCTCGAAATAAAACACACCTGAGTTTTAATGTCCTTGGGCTGAAAAAAGATTCCGAATCGGCACCGAACACATCGGACTGAAGGTAAATATAACGAATAACTGGACTTTAGTCTTCTCACAGTTTATATAATGTCAGTTTGAGATTTATCTTACACTTTGTTAAAAGTTTCCGATCATGTTAGAGACGGTTTTGGTCGATGCTCAGAAATCACCTACTCTGGGCGGGTCCCATTCTGGCTTTTTGCGCCAAACTCTGTTGTGAGTTTTTATACTTGGGAAAATATTTAATTTGACCGCAAAACTGAACAAACCTGCTGAAACACAAAAACTTTTGATTTGGACTGCTTTAGTTCGGCACTAGTCTCAGTGCGTGGAAAAATAGTTTTTGCACCGTAATCCTTAAAAAAAACCACACATCATGATTAGTCTTTTTTTTTGTTGATTTTGTCTCGTTCCATTAGCTAAAGAAAAAACATGAAGCTGTAAATGTATCCAATGTTTTCAGACTTGTTTTAAGCTGAACAGGAATTGGCTGTTTCTGGGTCAGTAGTTTAGTGGTCGGTACCGCCGCGGTCTCCTAATCCTGAGGCTACGGGTTCGAACCCAGTGTGCGAAGAAGTGTGAACACAGAGTGACTGCTGAAAAGGTTTAAAGCTAAAAGAAGCAGAATACTAGCTAAAAGCTAAAATAAGAGAAGATAAAATAAGCAGAACGCTATTAAAAAGCAAAAATTTGCACAACACTAAGTAAAAACTAAACAGAACACAAGCTAAAAAAAAATCATAACTAGTTGGAAAACGCTAGCCAAAATTTAAAATTGCAAAGCACTATAGCTTAAAGCTAAAATAAGTAAATTGCTGGATAATAGCTAAAAGCTGTGAAACGGTGGCTAAAGGTATAAAAACACAAGGCATAGTCAGTAAAAGGTTTGCTAAAAGTAGCAAAGTGTGGGCTAAAATCACTAGCTAATAGCTAAAACAACCACTAAAGGAGCAGAACACTAGCTAAAATCTAAAATAAGCAGAAATATATCTAAAGGCAAATAGATGCAGAAGACTAGCTAAAAGAAACGGACCACTAAGAAAACGGAACGTTAAAGGGAACACTATCTAAAAGCTAAAAGAAGCATAAAACTATCTAAATGAAGCAGAATGCTATTAAAAAGCAAAAACTGCAGAACACTAAATAAAAGCTAAAAGAAACTAAACACCAGCTAAAAGCTAAAAATCAAAAACAGGACACTGGCTAAAAGTTGAAAATGCTTGCTAAAAAAAATTAAAAAAGCAAAACATTAGTTAACAGGTCTCTTGTAAATATGTCCTCGAGGCTCAGTGGGAACTAACCTGTATAAATAAAGGTTGGATGGAAATAGCTAAAAGTGGCAAAGTACTAACTAAAAGCTAAAACAAGTAAATTGCTGGCAGCTAATAGCTAAAAGTTGCAAAACACTAGTTATTGAACATGGACTTTGTTGGTTTTGAACTAGTTATAATCAGTAAAAGATTTACTAAAAGTAGCAAACGGCTCAAAACTAAACAAGGAAACGCAGCAACAGGAAGCACGGTGGCTCAGTTTGTAGAGCTAGTTGGCAAGAAGGTTGCCGGATCAAATCCCAGCTGGGGGACCTTTCTGGGTGGAGTTTGCATGTTCTCTCCGTGCATGCGCTGGTTTTCTCCGGGTACTCTGGTTTCCTCCCACAGACCAAAAACATGCATGTTAGGCTGATTGGTGACTCTAAATTGTCCCTAGGTGTGAGTGAGAGAGTGAATGGTTGTTTGTCTCGTTTGTCTCTGTGTCCCTGTGATGGACTGGAGACATGTCCAGGGTGTCCCTCACCTCTCACACAATGACTGCTGGATATGGGCACCAGTGACCCAAAAAGAAAGAAGCGGGTAAAGATAATGAATGGATGGATGGATAAACGACAAAAAGCTAATGAAAAGTAACAGATAGCTAAAACTAAACTTCGATATATCAAAAGAAAATTCAAGACAAAAGACATTGTGGTTCTGCAAGAAGCCACCAGGTGGCGCAGTTACATCGGAGGATGCTTCAAGTGCAACTGCAAGAGGAAGACAGTAAACACTGTTTTGTTTCATTCGCTTTATTTCATGAGGCAAATCACACTCGGTCTGCACGCTGCGTCTCTGTTATGTACGTGAGGAAGATGAAATTGGAGTTGAGCTGCAGGACATAAATGTGTCTTCAAACTTATTCCATGTTTATAAGATTTTCACATCAGACCTGCACCCTCCTGCCAAGTTCTGGCGATCGACTCGTGGAAGGAAATTCATTCAGAGATCCTCCAAACAGCAGGAAGCATGAGCGAGGAGCCCCGGGAGAGCAGTCTGCGGCGCTGCGTTTAGACTAGCATAGATTCAATTCAGCTGAATCTGATTTATAGATAGAAGTTTAAATATAAGCTAATAAGTTTGACAAAGTAGGATCAAGCAGGACTGGTGCAATAAGGTAATAAGACCCTGCTCGTTGCTGCATATTACATTTATTTACAAGTCCGGGTTCAGTTGTATCCAGGCAGCAAAACCTAAATTAAATGTGCTTCCAGCAAAGTCACTTTATGCCTCAATAAAACACAGACCCACCGGGGCTGTGTGGTTTAGGAAACGCTGTCCTCAGGCATAAAATCAACATTACAGGCCACCATCAGATTGTCTGGACCCTCAGCTCATCTCCGAGGAGGAACTTTCCTCTGGTCACTTTTTCTGTATGTCAATTACTCCACTGGGACCTCGTTACTGTCTCGGCCAATCATACCTCCTCCTTAATTAACTCAGGAAATTGCACTTCTATATTTACAACCTAATAACCAACCTGGCCGACTGAAAAGGTCACATCAACAGTTTAGCAGTTTTTTTGCCCTATAGCTGTGCAGCCCAGGAGAATCGGATTCAGAGACGAGCCAAACAAACCTGAGGGAACTTATTAAATACAATAAAAACTGAAGAACTTTTTTGACCTCCAAATGTCAGAGCGGGTTGATTTTCACTTTTCTGTTGAGGAATACGACTCGGTAATTCAACATCATGTCCAGCAAGTTGTTGAGTTCATTGCTGGAAGTACTGTATGTGGAGAAAACGAAACAAGTTTGCACATTTAAGGGTACTACAGACATAAACGTTGTCTAACTAAAGAGCCCAAAACCAAACGTCAGTAATCTGCTGTCTGTATCTTCAGTGATGGCAGCGGAAATGCTCAGATTAGACCAAAAAAGTCCATGTTCAATAATCCAGGTATACAATCCAACAATTTTCAGTCAGATTAGATTTTCTGTATTGCATAATTACAATCTCTTTTAATTAACAGTGCCATTGCTTTAATGTTAAAGCCCCCTTACACCATAATATCCTAATGCATGCTCAATTATCCATGTAGAAAGATCTAACAACATTAAGTCAGATCCTCTTTATGGATTAAATTGTTTATTCTTTAATTGGTCCAACACAGAAGAGCAACATCATCAGGCCAGGACTCTGCAGTCTACACTCGTTCATTCTTCTTTTATTTCTACAGGTTAGTCTCATTGAGCCACAAGAACTCATTTACAAGCGAGACCTGTTTTAGACAGGCAACATATAAAGTACAGACAACAATAAACTACAATAAAAATGCAATTAAAATAAAGTAGTGTTATAAAACAATAAATCAGGGTGCCATAAAACAAAGTAAAATACTTAAAACAAGAACATATTTGTTTTGATGTTTATATTGATTTTATCAAACGTTTGAAATCCCCTAAAGAAGTCAAGGTGGACAACTTCAGATCTTGTTGCAAGGTGTACCAGGTTGCAGGAGCAGAGTAGGAAAAGGCCTTTTTGCCAAGTTCTGTTAGCGTGCATAATGCAGATTGACGCATGCAAATTGACCTCTCGCTTTATAACTTGAATCCCACACTCCGTGTTTCTTTGAATTGAGAAAGCTTCTCGGATGAGAAGCGAAACGTCTTCAGTTACAAATAAAGTCCAATTGTTTTGTTTTTAACCTTTTTTTGGTTTACCATGTCCTGGATGACTGAGAATCTTCATCAGCGTTTTTGCCAAGTTCAGTCCGTACTGAGGGAATGCTGCAGGTAATGATGGCCTGATTGCGCATGTTGGAACTGCACTGACGACGTGACATGGGAGGAGACGTAAAGGAGGGATTTACAGAAATTAACCAATGTGAGAGCCTACGTGTAGATAATGATGACCAACTGACCAA